CAAATGTTTTGGTGTTAACTCGTCTTTTATATTTCTGGCCGAATAAAGTTTTCAACTCGCAGAATTTGTTCACATCTACAAAAGCGCGTGGCACACAAATTATATCTATGCAACTATCTAAGAAAAATATTTTCTACGACATCTGCTATTGATACCAGGAGCAAAAACTTTGCAAACCCTTAAGACAAAGCAACTCTACTTGTTGGTCAAATATTACTTTATTTTAAAAACTTACTTTTTGATCATTACCTTAACTTTTGTTAAAGACTAAAAAAGAAAGTATTAATATTATTGCAACAAGGAGAAAGAATACAAGAAATCCTAATATCCCAAACGCGATCCAAATCCAACGTGAGCGTTTTACACGTTTGGGCTCGAACTGGTTTTCGTATATTTGAGTAACCTTTCGACGAATATTACTGTGCACCAGGTAAGGTGAATAAATCGAGGTCTCTGAATCAGAATTTTCCTCCTCGCCTTTCATCAGCCTTCAATTTTGTTTGTAACGTTCTAATTGATAAAGACTTTCAGACTATGAAACTATTTAAGCGCAACGAACGAAAAATACGAAAACAGGAAATGTTTGCAGATAAGTTTCACAAGGTTTGTAAAAAACAAATTTTGTGTAAAAACTGCATCATTAAACGATGCATGAGCTAGAATAAGCAAAAAAGTTTTGTTTTTAAGGCAAGAAGTGAACCAGAAACATGTTTGACGATGAAGACACAACTGTTTAGTGCAACCGATAATCCGATAGACATGCGCTAAGTCTTGGACATATGCTTAAAATAACTGCATCTTGTAAACTTAAAAACAAACATAAATGCTCTGTACCACTGTACATTCCCCTATCCAAACATGTGAAAGTCGTTCAGCAGGCACATAAAAGCAGAAAACAGGCTTATTCTTGGAATGTTGACCTTCAGAAGCAATAATGCACAATTGACGAAATGTCAGGAGAAATCGGAGGTTTAAAACTGTAAAAATTGAAAGGTTATTGCGCTTTGCACAAAACTCGGAAATAAGAGTTTGTGGTGGCAAGGGATGTATGATAATTTGCAGTCTCGTCTTTTTAAAATGTCAGAAAGCGTTTTGAACCTTTGTCCTCATGTTAATTTGAAATAAAATTTAATAATTTAAGCTTTTTACATTCTTCAGGATCTGCAAGAGACATTCTTTTGAAAGAAGAAAAAATGCGAGAATTCTATTGCGAATTAAGAAAGCTATAATTTCTTAAAGATGACAATTTTGAGAATAAATTGCGTTTTTTTCCTCTGCACTTTAGAACGGTCTAATTTTGGCGCCAGCGCACTTTTTGGAATAAGCTCATCTAATTTTAAAATCTGGTATCAAATGTTGCAGGTGGACAAAAAAATGATAAAAATCTGAGATGTGGAGGTGCAAACTTGTATCAGTTTGCATGGAAAGGCCCAAATATGTATATATACGAGACCATACTACAGCTTCATTGCGAACAGCACTTAAGTATTTTTTGCTGCTTAAACCAAAACAATAACTATAAAAGGAATAAGTAAGCTGGTTACTGTGAATGTTGCAATATATGAAAAAATTTCATTAACGCAGTGGAAGGATCAAAAGCCTTAAAATCACCAAATTTTTATTGAAAATTCAAAAAATTGTCTATTAGAACACAGGAAATGGACGAAAGAAAACTGATAATAAGTGAATTTGCAAAATTAAACTAACTTTCTAATCAAATTTAACAGCTTTTTTTACGCCTTATGCTTCTTCGTAGTGATTCATTAAAAAAGATTTTGCCAGAATTTAGACAGGAATTAAGGAAAGCACTAATTTCTGTTGTATTTTACTGAGCTCCCACACAGAGTAAACAGCTTAGTAATTTTGTTTAATAAATTAGTTAAGCACAAGTGCAATTATACTGTACCACTTCCTATCACAGCAATAATCAGTCAAAGCGTCTAAACACTGCTGCCTGTGATCTGGTCGTTCTCCTTGTCCACTCCTTTTTTTTTCAACTTTTAGATTTATTCAAGTGCTTACAGAACAAGATTTGTTTACGATTTCCAAGCTTCAACAATAAGTTGCAGAAAACTGGCGTGAAATTTCAAAGAAATATGGTATACATGACTTATTTATATCATTGAAAATAGATGTGTTTATTTTAAAAAATGAGCTTCTCTGCATATTCCTCTAAGCATAAAATTTTGAATTCATAAAGAATTTTAAATAGTGTACTCGATTTAACTTTGCTGTATACCACAGGAATTCTGTAGTTATTGAATCACTTCTTCAGTGTTATTCTGCCTACTAGAAAGTACAATTCCAGCAGCTGTAACCACATCGTGAATCTCCAGTTTTACTCGTGAACCGTGTGTAGTAAAGATCTGTTTGAAGATCCTGTTTAAAAATCTTTAAAGACTTCTTGTTTGCGGAATGACAAAAACCGTCTTTGATATTTGCTTAAAGAGTAAAGTTTGTTGGAAAAAATAAGGGTCAAAACAAGCGACATGAAAATCACTTGTCAATTATTAATTAATTTTCAAGCGTTAAGCTCTTAAAACTCTAAAAAGTAATAAAGGAATACACAGGCATTATTTGTAAAGCGTATCCACTGCTAAGTTGTTCATCCCTCTTTCATATCCCACCATTAAAACTGTCTTTGGTGGCATTCGGAAGGGTATAGTGGAGAAAATTGTGTATTTCATAAAGAGAGCTAAAAAGATTGCAA